CCTAATACACATTTACTTTTTTTTTTTTATAAGCTTTTATTTAGTTCAGTTTTGTCTGTTTGTTGGTTTGTCTGGTCTGACCCAATTTTTGCATTCGATTAATACAGTACTTCCTGATAAGCTATCGGACTGATATTTTGCTTACACATGCTTTGTGAATGAATATGTAATTTGGTGACAGATATTTTTTTGTCATGATATTTTTTTTAAATATGACTATTACAAAACTTTGAGGCCGACTGACTGACTGACTTTCTGCCCCACCAGGACATCACACAAGCGATAAACACCCGATGACACAAAGTGCCACCATGCGGGTGAGGATCACCGTGGAGAGGTCCCAGAAACCGCGTTCAGCCTTTAGGCCAGGATATATTGAAAATAAGAAGGGATCCGTAGGACTTGGAAACCACTGCTATTACAGCAGTGTTCTTTAACTAGTGGGCCGTGGGTGAATACAAGTTGAGAAACACTGCCTAAAGCACAGACAGCCACGAACCAACAAACAAAATTTATTTTAAAGGGTTACAAATTGGGCAGGCAGGCCCGTCTTCTTTCACACACCCACCTTATATACAGCAGTTGTATTTTACCAATATAATATAATATTATGCATATTATGAATATCAAGAAAAAACACAATAGCATGAGTGGTAAAATGCATGGGCACACTCGCACGTGCACACACATGTACCCACATACGCACGCCAACACAAGGCAGTAACTAGACCATTGTTTCCCAACACAGAAGAGCAATTTGACTGTTAATGGGGGACAATCTGATTGTTGAAGGGAAGCAATAAAAATGAACTCATCAAGAGTTTAACTTACGCGGGGGAGAGGGGATTATAAAATTTTAGAAAAGCTCAGGTTCAGCATGGGATAAAAAAAAATAGGTTGTGAAACAATGGACTAGATGCTCACCTACCAACCCAGATGTCAATCACTGTAATGATCTATTCATGTTTCAGCATTGTTCATTTGCTCTCTGAAAAAGCCTAAACTACAATTGGCTTGTCACTTCTCTGTGCACCACACAGTGGTGCAGTACCGGCCAATCAGTTTGCCTTTTCATGTCCCAGAACACCTGGATTCTCCTAAAAAATATCCCTTTTATTATCGAGTGAGGGCTCTTTGGTAGCGAGTGAACAATGCCCAGGAACAGATAGATCATTACGGTCTCAGGAGAATGGCACTGCGATGAGGTATAAGTGGATCTGGCCGACGCTCGACACTCAGGGGAAAGGCGATACGGATATACAATCAGACAGTTACTGGTACCATCTGAATTTGAACTCTTCGCTTATGGGGGTATCCCGAGTGCTATGATGCCGATTCTTAATTCAACATTCAACATTATTATCGAGCAAAACTAGAGCAAAAAAAGAAGAGGACTTGTCATGGTCCCCAGATGTATCCTGCCCAGGACAAGGACCCGGTTCCAGGAACAACTTACCTGTGTGTATGCGGAAGTGCTGGTTGAGGTGCGACTGCTGGCGGAAGGCACGATCGCAGCACTGGCATACGTATTTCCTCTCGTCTACAGGACAGGGAAAAGAAGAAGAAAGAATATTTGGCTGGGGGGAAAAGTCAATGCATGGATTGTGAGTGTGACGACTGATCAAAATCAATCAAAGGATCATGCTGTTCTCCACTCTATGCAAGCAAAGTATAATCATAAATAAATTTTTATATAAAATCAGAATAACCACATGCATAAACAGAAACACATATGAGAAAGATGAATAAACAAATAAACACAATAAATAACAAAACTGATACATACAAATGAATAAATAAACAAACAAATAATTACATACATATACATGAATGAACAAACAGACAAAACAAATACACGGAAGAAATAGAGGTTCATTTTGCGTTTTTTGCCCCAGAAAGAGAGTGAATTCCCTTGCCATTCATGCTTCCTCAGGTTGCAGGACCTCTCCTTTGTTGTGGGGGTGTTATGATATGGCTTGGTTTGGCATTCGCTAGGCATATGTAATGTTTGTGGGAGGCTGTACTGTTGTGAGTCTATTTCAGGTGCCGCAGGCGCTTGCGTACAAGTAAGAAGTACTGAAGGGGAAAGTGCAGCAGGCCCGACATTTCTTGAGTATCGAAAATACTGGGATGTTTTTGTATTTCTAGGTTTGTTGGCAGTGCCCCACCCCCCCCCCCCCCCCCCCCCCCCCCCCCCCCCCCCCCCGAGAAAGAAAGCACTTACAAGGAACGTAGGAATATAAAAATATCACTGTTTTCAAACTCCTAAACCGTTGCGCATGTAGCAGAGCATGAAAATAATCATGCAAACTAGTGGTGAGAAGACAAGAAAAGAGAGAATGGTTAAAGTGTTGACAATAAAGAAAAAAATTGTACCCCTGCAATGTAGGAAAGGTCCTGCGACCGGACTAGGTATGAATTGCAAGGGACGTCATTCTCTTTCTGAGCCAGAAAACGTAAAATGAACCGAATTAAATAAATACATTTTAATGAATGACAAACAGAGCAAATAAAAATATGCATAAACATGAATAAACAGACAGACAGAATAAATAAATATATTCATACAGATGTGTAAATAAATAGACGGAATTAAAACAAAAAAATAATGATGAACAAACATATGAATATAGAAAATAAAATTCAAAAAATGCAAACAAATGAAAGAAAAAACAAAAATACACAACAAATAAAGTAAAACCTTGGTTAGGAACTGAGTAAAACCTCGTTTAACGTGAATTCGCTAAAGAAGAACACTCGATTATCACAAACAAGTGTTGGTCCCAGCAGGGATGGATTGTTGTTATTATTGTTATTATTGTTATTATTATTATGTTTACTAGTGAGGGTGGCCACAAGCCATGTTTTCGCCGAGACAGTATTGTATTTATAGGCAGATCCTGATGGTCTCATCGATACTCAACGTCAACTGGGACAATACGCTTTTTGTCTTCAGTACTGACCCAACAGTCTGTGCATACCAAAAAACAGCAGAATTCTGATGATGCCAGTAGATTATATGTCCGTCTTGCCTTTCCTTAGAGTGTAGAGTGTTGGCCAGATCCCCTAGTCACTCCCAGTTGTACTATTCTCTCCTGTGAGTGTAGAGTGTCGGCCAGATCCCCTAGTCACTCCCAGTTGTACTATTCTCTCCTGTGAGTGTAGAGTGTCGGCCAGATCCCCTAGTCACTCCCAGCTGTACTATTCTCTCCTGTGAGTGTAGAGTGTCGGCCAGATCCCCTAGTCACTCCTAGCTGTACTATTCTCTCCTGTGAGTGTAGAGTGTCGGCCAGATCCCCTAGTCACTCCCAGCTGTACTATTCTCTCCTGTGAGTGTAGAGTGTCGGCCAGATCCCCTGGTCACTCCCAGTTGTACTATTCTCTCCTGTGAGTGTAGAGTGTCGGCCAGATCCCCTGGTCACTCCCAGCTGTACTATTCTCTCCTGTGAGCGTAGAGTGTCGGCCAGATCCCCTGGTCACTCCCAGCTGTACTATTCTCTCCTGTGAGTGTAGAGTGTCGGCCAGATCCCCTAGTCACTCCCAGCTGTACTATTCTCTCCTGTGAGTGTAGAGTGTCGGCCAGATCCCCTGGTCACTCCCAGCTGTACTATTCTCTGTACTATTCACTCTCTATTCTGTGAGTGTAGAGTGTCGGCCAGATCCCCTGGTCACTCCCAGCTGTACTATTCTCTCCTGTGAGTGTAGAGTGTCGGCCAGATCCCCTAGTCACTCCCAGCTGTACTATTCTCTCCACATAATAATAATAATCTATTCAGGCCTCTGGACTGTTCATTTGTTCCAAAAGGGCCTTTGGTGAAAAATCAGACAGTCTGCCTGCCTGTTCATTTCTCAACAATCCTGCATATGACACACAACAGTAACCAAACGAATGGATAAATAAAAACACGGGCACAAATGAAATCTAAACAATGAAAGAAACAACTTTAAAAAATTAATATATATTTTTAAAAATTTTAAAAAAACAGCTGCACTATTTACAAAGAAATTTATTTTGAGAAAGGGAAAATCTTGACTTTTGGTCTATAAGGTCATATTTCATTTGTAGCAGAATTCATTTCAATGTCACCACTCACCCACCATTAACTTGTCCATCTTCTTCTTTCTCTCCTTGTCCTGTTTCATCCTTTTTGGATGCCTCCTCTTAACTCTTTGAGTCCCAGGGGGTTTAGCATCACAGGCCAAATGGGTGGTAAATAGAGACTAAAACTGATGCATCACACGTTCATTAGGTTTCCAGGTAGGAACCTATTAACGTGTGGTGTGTTTCCTGGGACTCAAAGAGTTAATGAAGATGAGTTTCTATAAACAGAACCCTCCTACTTCGCCCCCCCCCCTTTTTCACCCCTCGCCAAAGAAAACATGCAAAAATAGGGTACAGTATTGCAAACACTGTCAGAAACAAAGGGAAATGACAATTCATCATGATGGTATAATCAAAATTACCATTTAATTACCAGCCACTGCTGATATAAAACCATTTAATTACCATTTAATGATGACATAATTAATTAGAACTGTGTGTCCACAAATTCCGTCATACCATACACTATTTTGTCATACCAGGTATTCTGTCACACCACTCACACCACACATTATGTCACACCACACAATGCTACATCCCACGATCTGTCACACTACACATCTTTTTCTCACTACACAATCTGTTACACCAAATATTCATTACACCTTATGTCACACTGAACATTTTGTCACCACTACACATTATGTCACACCACACATTTTGTCACATTACACATTATTTCACATGGCGCATTGTGTCACATCACACATTCTATCACTCTCTACCGTCTGTCACACCACACCTACTGTCGCATGGCAAATTTTTTCACACACCTTCTGTCACACCACAACACTACTATCACTCCACACAGCGATACACCATGTAATGCTATACCATACATTCTGTAACATAAACACACATTCCCTCACAACAGCAGCAGCGTGTGAGAAACTGTTACCTGTGTGTATCCTGTAGTGCTGCTGCAGGTGTGTCAGCTGCTTGAACGCCCTGTCACAGCACTGGCAGATGTACTTGCGCTCTCCTGGAAAGAGTGTAGCAAACACATCGTTAAATTAAAGTCAAACCTTGACCTAGCCTAAAATGGGTATCTGAATGGCTGTCCTGGGGAAGTAAAGACGGCTGGCGTAATGCTGACCACATTACCCACCTAGTGCCGATTCATCTGTAAAAATATGGGATGCTCTTCCCATATGCCTGATACATGTGAACAGGGATCTTTATTTGACTTTACAAATACATTGTTAAATTAAAGACAAACAAACTAAAGCAACACAACCAACAAATGTGATACTGCGAGCTGTCCGTGCTGTGTGGTATGCTTTTAAATTGTGCCAAAAGTGGTTTGTATTATGAACTACATATTTGGAACATGGTGGGTGAACTGCTGCCACATAACTCTTGATGCCTTATTTTGTCATTCCTGTGCAACTGCTGCTTAGTTGTGACTGCTTCTTCCAATGACAATGAATTGCATTTCTGGAGGCGGATTACAGGTGTTGGCACCTCAGGCAGTTGTCAATTCTGCATTGATCCGAAGATGAAACTGCGTTGTGCCCGTTTACAGCATGGCTGTGATACCTGCACTTTTCGGCCAACATATCTGATTTCTGCGGGCATTTGTTAACCAGGCTAGCCTTCCTGGTTGGGCAGTTGCCCTTATACATGTAATGCTTCTACAAACTTTTTGACTTAGTCAGGACTGCAGTCTGTTTAACTGTTTTTCGATACAGGAAAAATGTGAGGTATTTTATGTGGGTTTTGCTGCCACATGAAGAAACAATTATAGGGTGACATGTTCAATATGAAACTGGAACTGTGACTAACTATGACTAATGACTACTGTTTAAAAAAAAAAATAATAACAATAACCCACAAGCTTAGACTTATCATTTCTTTAAATTTGACCTATGAATGCTAAAAAATCCACACACACACATTTAAAAAAAAATGATTTTATTGAGGTATAAATTGTTTAAACATTTATTTATCTACATTTTAAAAATTTGTTTTTCCAAAGGGAGTATTTAATGAATAGAAAAGAGTTAAGCATTAAATGGAATGCATTCCCTAGGGACTAAAACAAATGTGTATCCCATGACTCATACTGTGACCTCAACCACTGAGGCTTCAGGCAAAATTGTACGCCTGGCTTTAAAAAGAGGTGAAATTTCACTTATCGTTTGTGATCTTTTGAAGCTGATTGATTCTACTTGTTTGGTCTGATATCTTTTTATGGCTACTGGATTTATGAGAAAACCCCTCCAAAACACTGCAAGCGTACACAGAACAAATGGCATTTAACTGCACAGGCATACACAGAACCAACGGCATTCAACTACGCTTTTCGAGAACAGGCCACTGCAGAAATAGCAACATTTCAGCATTTACAGTGCTGTGTCAGAATCAGAAGTGGCTAGATTTAGCCTTCTCGGGGCGATACATGGTAAACATCATAAAAGTTTGGACAGAACAGAAAAGAGAAAGAGATGGCCATATTTGTAGTAACACCCCACCCCCACCCCAACTAGTTTTAAAAAAAATGATAAAAGCATCAACAATAACTGGTAATTAAATGGAAATTATATCAGCAATAACTAGTGGCTAAATGGTAATTATAACAGTCCATGGGGTCATTTGTAAGCCAGAGACAAGTATTTATAACCCGTAACCTACAGACAGCTAGCACATAATCAGCCATACACAGTCGCCCAAACATAACCATATTTATGCACAAACAGCTACACACCAACAGCCCTAAGCTGCGACATGCAGTCATACAAAAAAAAAAAAAAAAAACGGCTTCATAAACATTAATAAACAGCTGCATACAAACAGCCATAAACAGTTATACACAAATGGTAAACTGATATAAACAGTTACACACAAATGGTAAAGAGATATAAACAGTTACACACAAACGGTAAACAGAAATAAACAGTTACAGACAAAAAAGACAGCTACAAACTATTACATACAGATAGACATAAAAACATATAAACAGCTTAGCATAACAAACGGGCATAAACAGCCACATATTCATAAACAGTTACACACAGACAGATACAAGCAGCTAATAAACATCCCTAAACAGCTATATATCACAAACAGTTACGCATAAACAGTCATAAACAGTGAAAGCAACAGAGATGATCAGTATAAACACAGCCATACAGTTACATATATGGGGCCGTAATAAATACAGAAAAGCTACAAGCAACTACGAATGACTAACTATTCATAAACAGCAACATAAGACTGCAGGCAGGAGAATACAGATTATCATTATGTTGTGCCATCATACTGGGCTCGCAGTCTAGCTTTCATTCCACTCTATTCAGTACAATCTTTTTGATAATGTATAACATAAGGTAACCCTTGACTTTTTAGGGTCGCGGGGGTGTACCGATGAAAGCACTAGCACATAAAACCCTGCCATCTTTCACTGTGTTCAACTTGTTGAGCAAGTGTACGATAACTTAGTCCTGTCCATTTCTTGATATTCTCATTCCAGGTTCTTCTTTGCCTTCCTCTTCTTTGACCCCCCCCCCCCCCTTTCAGTGTTCCTTAAAGTACAGTATTGGTAATTGAATCAAGTCTCACGACGTGCCCAAACCAAGCTAGCTTGCGACGTTTCACCACTGCCAAGAGAGGCTCCTGATGTCCTGCAAATTTTTTTAATGTGTCTCTAATGTTTTACTTTATAAGTAACGAATCTGTAAAATTTTTGTCTGTAATTTTTTGTTTGTTGATTGCACGAATGCAATCGTTCTTCTTTACATCTGGTTTCGTATGCTCAGGTCAGACCATCAGGTGGGTTGCCTCTATGAACTCGCAGTAGCAGGTCCTTCATGGTTCCCCACAGCTTGCTCTTAAAGCCATGTTCTCGTTGTAGTTGTATGTAGAGTGGGCAGATCTGCAGAATGTGCTCAGGTGTTTGTGGTCCTGTGTGACATGCATTATTGTATGCATGTGGAAGATGAGCATGCAGTGTCCTGCTCTTGTCCTTAGACTGGAATCCAGTCCAGCAATTTTGGCCTTTCTTAACAACAGCTGTCTTAGGTTTTTTTGTTTTGTTGTTATGTCCTCCCTTTATCGCTACATTTGTTTAACAATTCCGTGCCTGTTTGGTCTCTCTCTCTCTCTCTCTCTCTCTCTCTCTCTCTCTCTCTCTCTCTCTCTCTCTCTCTCTCTCTCTCTCTCTCTCTCTGTGTTTCTTCTCATGATGTGCCTAACATATTGCCACAGACATACACATATGTATGTATGCACATACGCACACACTCCATCAACTGATCAATCAAAAAGTCCTTTATAGAACGTTGCACTCGTCACGGCATGCCTGAAAATCTCTCTTGCTCTAGCTAGTTCTCAAACCCTAGGTGCTTTCACAGCTAATACAACTTCAACATCCTTATCCATCTTCGCAGCAGCTGGCCTCTGGGCCTCTTTCCAGAAACTGCACTCTCAATCATCGTTCTCTCCAGACCATGCAGGTGCACGTACGCACGTACACACACATACACACACATAAAACAGCAATCAGATTACCCGTATGTATTTTATGGTGCTGTTGCAAGTGGGTCAACTGCTTAAACGCATGGTTGCATATCTGGCACACATACTTGCGCTCTCCTACAAAGAGAAACAGAAGGTTCACAAGGCTAGGTTATCATCCCTCTCCCAGCTACAGATCTGCTACTGATTCATCTAATTAAAGTTTCTCAACTAGGCAAACGGTGTAAGGTAACTGTGCAACAGATACCATCCAACTGTGTAATTTGTGGAAATAAAAGAGCTGATAAACTAGCTAAGGAAGGTGCAAATGAAGAACAATCTGACGTACCAGTCTCTTATCAACAAAAGAAGAGAATAATCACGTCAATTAGAAAGCTACCAAAACCAGCACAAGACAATTACCATTTTATGGACGGGCCAGAGCAAGTAATTATTCTAGGCCTGAAGACAGGGGCACAATCAACTTCACAGACACATGTACACAAAACTTAGGATTGGTAAATCAGCCATGTGTACTTGTGGATTGGCACCTGAGACAACAGATCATGTCCTACAAGACTGTCCCAAAATACAACATTTCCAGGCAAAACTTCTGGCCAAGAGAGACACTGATGGAAGCCAAACTTTACGGGCAACTAAATGAATTACAAAAGGCAAATTACAAAACCCTCCTCCTTCTTCATCCAGGCTTGGGACTGGCAATGATGAAGATCTATGTTATGTTAATGACGATTTTAGTTTTCTCCATGTTTCTGATCCACATATTTGACATTCTTCTTCTTCTGCCTTTCTAACCCCAATGGAGCATAGGCTTCAACCAACTCACGCCAAGTAATTCTATCCTTCTCTATTGCATGAACTTCTCCAAATGATCTATCTCTAGCTCCCTTCTCCATGTTTTTTTGTTTTGTATTTTGGTCTTTCTTTACTTCTATGCCCCCGTGGGTTCCAGTGCAAAGACATTCTAGTTATATTGTTCTCAGGTTTTCTCAACAACTGTCCTACCCAAAACCAGCGTTTTTTTCTTCATCTTTAGGTCCACTGGAATTTGTTTACTTCTCTCCCAAAGCTCAACATTAGTGATTTTATCACTAGTCATTTCTTCTTTTTCTTTGCATTCACCAGCTGTAAACTCTGGAGGAAAGTTTTGGTTGTTCGTCCACTTCTGGACTGCAGTCCTGTTCCAGAACCTGAGTGTTGCCTGTGCATCCGTTTAACAGATCTAACACATTTGTGTGCAGACTGTTGGTTCCTTGCCTCTCAGGCTTCGAAGGAAGCTCCCAATCAGTCGACTCTAACGACATGCTTTTGGGTAGGCAGTGGGTCTATTCTTGTTTTCCCTATAAAAAGGCCTTGGAACACACACGGGGGATCATACCATTTAATTCCCTCTATTCTGCGCAGGCACCAGTTAATGAATGTTTGTAGTTTATTGGCAACTGCCTTAGTTGTTCTCCATGTTTCCGTTACATACAACAGTTCTGGTTTGACATTAGAATTAAAGATTTTAGGTTTAGTATTTCTTTCAATTTCCTTTGACCTCTACAAATTTCTTTGTGCTATGAAAGCTCCTCTGTCCCTTTTGTAATCGTACATATTTGACAAAGTAAAGAAACAAATCCCTCTATTTAGCCATGACCAAACCCAAACTACTACATCAGTAGACAAGCACATTCATCACAATACTATCACATCTTCTTCTTCTCCTTCTGCATTCAAACTTAAATGGGAGGTTATCATAGTGTCATGTGGTTTACAGCTAGGCTGCGTTATCGGCACCTTTCAGCCCAACAAATCTGCTTTCAGCAAATCCTCAACTTGTCGCCTTTTATGACATGCTTGTTAAGAAGATCAACTTACTTACCTAGGTAATAATTTTGATAGTGAAGGAAAATACGAAGAAATAATTTATGACATGCTTGCTAAGAAGATCAACTTACTTACCTAGGTAATAATTTTGATAGTGAAGGAAAATACGAAGAAATAATTTATGACATGCTTGCTAAGAAGATCAACTTACTTACCTAGGTAATAATTTTGATAGTGAAGGAAAAAACGAAGAAATAATTTATGACACACATTGACAAGGCATCAGCAGCTTTAAACAGCATGTAATCTTAAACGGAACAGTTTGTTTGTTTGTTTTAGTATCCAGAAGCCATGAGTTGTTAACCCTTAGGTTCGGTATTATGGATATCGCAACCTTTTGGCCTTGATTCCATTGTAAATACCGTAAATCGGGGAGAAATGTGGCTTTTCTGCCTACCCCCAGGAGTGAAGCCGGACCACAAGGAGTTTGTCACCCGGTCACCGCGCAATCCGGTTTAGCCAATTACACTAGAGAGTCGGGCAAATGGAACAGTTTGAAAACCAAGTTACGTATTTTCTCAGGCAGATGCACTCCGACTTTGAAGGAAGCTCCCAATTAGTCGACTCTTACGACATGCTTTTGGGTAGGCAGTGGGTCTATTCTTGTTTTCCCTATAACAGGGCCCCGGAACACACACAGGAAATGATAAAAATAAAATGGGATGAATTCAAAAGGAGTGAAAAAAAAAGAGAAATGTCTGGACAACCACTAGTATCAACAGTTATAAGACAGAGAAGATGGCTGGACAACCACTACCATCAACAGTTATAAGACAGAGAAGATGGCTGGACAACCACTACCATCAACAGTTATAAGACAGAGAAGATGGCTGGATAACCACTACCATCAACAGTTATAAGACAGAGAAGATGGCGCTACTTCGGACACGTCTTGAGAAGAAACCAGCAGAAAAAGCACACAAGCATTAAAATGTGAAATAAAGGGATTGAGGAGACAAGGACACTCAAAAGAAACCCTAAAGCGAATGTTGATGAGAGAGGCCAAAGCTGCTGGGCTGGATATCATCCATGATATTGAACTGATTGTACAGGACAGAAGGGATATGAAGGAACAGACAGTGAGCCCTATGTGAGATAAAATGGCAATACAGGATAATGAATGAATGAATGAATGAATGAATGACTGAATGAATGAATGACTGAATGAATGAATGAATGAATGAATGAATGTTAAGCAGTAGACCTATTCTTTTCCTCCCAAAAATGGACAGTATCACAGCTGGGGCAGTATTACAGCAGGGGACAGTGACACAGCTGGGGACAGTATCACAGCTGGGGACAGTATCACAGCTGGGGACAGTATCACAGCTGGGGACAGTATCACAGCTGGGGACAGTATCACAGCTGGGGACAGTATCACAGCTGGGGACAGTATCACAGCTGGGGACATTGACACAGCTGGGGACAGTATTACAGCTGGGGACAGTATCGCAGCTGGGGACAGTATCACAGCTGGGGACAGTATCGCAGCTGGGGACAGTATCACAGCTGGGGACAGTATCGCAGCTGGGGACAGTATCACAGCTGGGGACAGTATCACAGCTGGGGACAGTATCACAGCTGGGAACAGTATCACAGCTGGGAACAGTATCACAGCTGGGAACAGTATCACAGCTAGGGACAGCATTAGCGGACCCACAGAAATGTACAGACAATATTGTAAAAGAGCTAGAATCAGTACAAAATAAATGGTTCTATTACAAATATATTTAATTATTACAAAGAACAAATGGTACTATTACACATACAGTAACTACAGCAAGAACAAATGGTATTATTACATGTATAATACATATACTGAGAATAAATGGAACAATTACAAATATAATAACTATACTGAGAACAAAAGGTACTATCACATGTATAATAAGTATACTGAGAACTAATACTATCACAAGTACAACAACTATAAAAAGAACAAACGGTACTATTACAAGTACAATAACCATACAAAGAACAAATGGTACTGTTACAAGTACGATAACCATACAAAGAACAAATGGTACTATTACAAGGACAATAACCATACAAAGAACAAATGGTACTGTTACAAGTACGATAACCATACAAAGAACAAATGGTACTATTACAAGTACAAAAACCATAAAAAGAACTAATGCCACTATTAAAAGTGCAAAAACCATACAAAGAACAAAATGGAAACAATACATACACAAACAAAATTTACTATCATAAATACAAAAATTACAGACAGCTCAAAAAAGTACTATGACAAATACAAAAAAAAAAAAAAAAACACTTACAGTAAGTACTAAAACAATTCTACAAGAGTTACTGGCACAATTACCCCTAAAAAAAGTTACTAAAGATACTATTACAAATTTGAAACTACAGACTGCACACACAAATACAAAAACTACAGATAACAAGATCAGTTGGGGTGTAGTTGGTCTATTCCCCCATCCCTCCTCCTTCTTCCCCCATATGTCCAGAATGGGGCCCTGGAACCCCCAAGGGGGACATACAATACAAAACGATTCATCATCATCATGTAGCAGGTCCTTTCTAGAACATCGCTCTCATCATGGTCTGCCTGAAAGAAACTGCTGCCAGCTCTCCCGCTTCATGCACTTTCCTACCCACAATGTCGTTTATAACCTGTGCCCATCTTCGTGCTGGTCGGCCCCTGCCCCTCTTTCCTGGTACCATGCCTTCTGCTATTATTCCATCCAATCTGTTAGGGCATTTGATATCGTGCAAATATTTCATTTTCGGGGACAAGTTGCTGTTTACTAGCCAATCTTCCACGATATTCAGGGCCAGGATCACTTTCCGATGGCTTGAGAACAGCATGGCCCAGCCATGTTGTGATTGTAACAGACTCACAGAGCATGCTTAGGAAAACTGGAACTGGTGTCCTGCGCAGAGAGTGGCCTGTATCCCTTGATAAGAACCAGATCAGGAGTACTTCTTGGATTTTCTGTCCAGGACATTTAGGAGTGAGGTAACAAGCAGTCTGACAGATTAGCTGCTGCAGCTCCTCTGGGCGCTGAGCTACTATATGATAAAGAGTATGTGGTGATGGCTTTATCAAACTGACAGTACAAAAGAGCAGATGGGCAATCCATACACATACAAGATGAACTCAACAGGGGAGAAAGAACGAACTAACAAATGTTATTTTCAAAGGGTTACAAACTATGCGCCCTGTCTTACATTCGGCCCTTCCAAGCACTCAGAAGATATTCATCACTGAAAGGGGAAAGAGAGGCGAACTTTTAATCAGATTGTAACTGGTACTATTAGCATGTCATCTCTTTGCTGGTTACTGAAGACGGGGATGGTGCACATGTGGGAATATCCCGAGTGTGGTGATGTCAATTCAAATGTCTTAGGATGTCATTTTTGTCTCTTCTTCTTTGTCCGTGGTATTCTGAGAATCTTTTTGTAGAATTACAGCTCAAAATCCCCTATTTTCTTCTTTAAGAACTAAAACATGAATTGACAAATACAAAAACACCACACAACACAAAAAGGAACTTTTACAAATACAAAAGCAACAAACAGATAAAAGGTTCTGTACATATACAACCCTACATACAAAAAAAATTAACAATAATTTAAAAAAAAAAATTTTTTTTAAAGAAACCAGTACAATACAAAAAGTGTTATTAAAACTACAATTAAAAAAAAAAAAAACATAACATACACATCACTACAAATTTAAAATGAACTCAAATGCCCTAATTTCAAATACTCTGGCTCTGAAGGGAATGATTTAACCACAAACCTTACAGCTGCTGCCCTACAACACTCACACACTTGACCACATGCAGTACAACAATGAAGAAGACAGAGAGGCAACATGTGCCCTATTTACCCGTATGAATTACGTGGTGCTTCTGCAAATGGGTCAATTGCTTAAATGCTCGATTGCATATCTGGCATATGTACTTGCGCTCTCCTATGGGAGGAAACAAAATAAGACATGGAGAGTACAGAGATTGTTTCTGTTCTTTGCTTTGCAATAAACACAGATTATTTAAAAAATGGATATGTGTCTTTATCTTTTGGTCAAAAAGATTGCATACATTTCCGTGGGTTCCGGGGCCCCATTGTGGGGAAAACAAGAACAGACCCACTGCCTGCCCAAAAGGATGTTGCCAGAGTTGATTAACTGAGGGCTTCCTTTGAAGTCGGAGTACATCTGCCTGAAAGGCAAGTAACCAACAGTCTGCACGCAAATAAGTCAGACCTGATAAATGTATGTACACACAACAGTTTCTGGAACAGGACTAGAGTCCAGAAGTGGATGAACAACCAGATCTTTCCGCCAAAGTGTAATGCCAGTGAACATGATGAAGAAAAAGAGGAAGAAGAAGCAGAGTGCAAACAATGTGACTACCATATGATTAAAAAAAACAAATAGTTGTGTTGCCTTTAATAGGAGCTATTTCACAAGGAAACAAGCAAGCTGACAGGCTTGCAGTTGAGGCTACAGTGGAGGGCAGATGAGCCATGGACCAGGCTGATTTACTGAATATTCTATGAGAACTAAGACTTTTGCCCGAATCAAGCTAGGACTATCAATCTGCAACCATGACCAGACTGCAAGAACAGTAAGTTTGAAGGGCTGAGGCCAGACAAGATGCTATGTAGGAATTCAAAGATGCTATGCAGGAAGTCAAAGATGCTATGCAGGAAGCCAAAGATGCTATGCAGGAAGCCAAAGATGCTACGCAGAAAGCCAAAGAAGAATAACAGGAAGCCAAAGAAGAATTACAGGAAGCCAAAGAAGAATAACAGGAAGCCAAAGAAGAATTACAGGAAGCCAAAGAAGAATAACAGGAAGCTAAAGAAGAATAACAGGAAGCCAAAGAAGAATTACAGGAAGCCAAAGAAGAATAACAGGAAGCCAAAGAAGAATAACAGGAAGCCAAAAAAGAATAACAGGAAGCCAAAGAAGGATACCATGAGGCTAAAGAAGAATAATAAACCAATACAGAACAACTGTCAGCAGCCTCTACACTGTGCTATTTACTGAGGAGGGGATCTGAGCACGTATGGACTGAATAGTTTGATGTGCACTGAGAACGACCTGTAACTAACAAATGTAAAAGGGAAATAAAAATAACGAATTAAATCAAGACATAATGAAGCACAAACATGAATCCTTTTCACTGAAATACAAAGACAATCACACTGTCAGGCCAGGCTGCACATTTATCCACCAGAGTTTCTAACTTAGCCACATGATTAGCATGGTAACATAAAATTTATCACATGATCTTCTTGTTTACATAGAACAGGGTAGTTCACTTTTACTGATAAAGCCTCAGCTATTTTAGTAATCACGTGGCTGATCTAAAATTTCCGGTGGAGAGATGTACAACCTAACCTAAAATGTGATTTTTCTGTATTTCACTGAAAAGGATGAACTTTTGTGCGTCATCACATGTTGATTTAAGGCGTCTGGTGAGACACAGCAAAATATTCCAGGTAATAAATTGTGCAATGTATTGTTTGTGTCTTCAGTATTCAAATTTACAATGGGAAAATAAAAGTTTTGAATACAGAGTACATCCTCTCTGTGTTTTGTTTGGCTATTTAAAAACGTTTTAAATGAATGTAGTGTAATGTAGTGTCACGTAATCCTATGACCGAAACGATGGTTATATTTTGTTCTATGAGGCGATATTTTAATAGGGTAGATGGGGCAACATGTCAATTCTCTGTCTTAAAACTACAATAAAGGCATTTATGAATGGCCGAGTCAATCAAACATCAATAATTAAGCTCACCGTCAGTGTTTTAAATACAATGAAGACACTGATGTCTCAATCAAACACATCAATGATTAAGCTCAATGTCAGTGTTTTAAATACAATGAAGACACTGATGTCTCAATCAAACACATCAATGATTAAGCTCAATGTCAGTGTTTTAAATACAATGAAGACACTGTTGTCTCAATCAAACACATCAATGATTGAGCAGTTTGTGAGTGTTTTAATACAAAGAAAGCACTGATGTCTCAGTCAAACAAATCAATGATTAAACTAAATGTGAATGTTTTTAAATATTGTGAAAGCACTGATGTCTCAATCCAACAGATCAATGATTTAGCTGACTGCGAATGTTTTAAATACATTGATAGCATTGATGTATGAATGAGTCAGTCAAACAGACCAACGCCCAGGCTGATTATAAAAGTTAGTCTTTATTTTAAATTGCAGATAATTTTCTCAATTTGTGCAACAAAAAAAACATAACAAATGATTGATACAGCAGGAAAATGAATAGCTGAAAACAATATAGCATTCCAATGTAATTTACCAAAACCAATAGACTGTACTCCACATGTGGGTTCCGGGGTCCCTGGGTTCTGGAACCCCACTGTGGGGAAAACAAAAACAGACCCACTGCCTGCCCAGCCAGCATGTAGTAAGAGTTGACTTGTAGTTTGAACAACAGTTCAACATCATGGCACACAGGCAGTAACCCATTAGTGCTCTGTTCTTCTTCTAACTCAAATCTGAGTTTGAAGAAGCTCAGCACAGTTCACAGGCTCTGTAGCACCGGCGAGGATCCCAAAATACTTTGGGTAGACTTTTAATTCTAAATTTTGCCTGGGCAGTGCGGTTAGGCTATTCTTTTCGATTTCCAACTGCTAAAGGATTTTTAACATGTACAACAATGCACACGGGCGTCTAGTCTCACTACCCAGAGACCAGGGGGGATTACTAGAAGTCCACGTTAAAAAATCCCAGCTTTTACCGGGGATTGAACCCAGAACTTCTAGCACTCAAGGTGGGCACCATGCCTCGAGACCACGCAGCCCCCCCCCCCCCCCCCCCCCCCCCCCCCCCCCAGAATCGACTAACTGGAGACTTCCTTCAAAGTCGGAGTGCATCTGTCCGAGCGGCAAGGAACAATCAGCTACACACAAAAAAGCCAGTTAAACGGGGGTGCATGCAAGACTTAGGTCCTAGCACAAATGAAAGTTCAAAAAGACAAACAACCAGGACTTTCTGCTGGAGCTTACAACTGGTGAACAAGGAGGAAGAATAAGACTAGACTGTACTAACTATGATTTCTATGTCTTCCCCTTCTTCTTTATCTGATTTGTGTGCGCTGGAGTTGACTGTCAAGGTAAGAATCTGCTGGAGTTGACTGTCAAAGTAAGAATCTGCTGGAGTTGACTGTCAAAGTAAGAATCTGCTGGAGTTGACTGTCAAAGCAAGAATCTGCTGGAGTTGACTGTCAAAGTAAGAATTTACTGGAGTTGACAGTCAAAGTAAGAATTTACTGGAGTTGACAGTCAAAGTAAGAATCTGCTGAAGTTGACTGTCAAAGTAAGAATTTACTGGAGTTGACAGTCAAAGTAAGAATTTACTGGAGTTGACAGTCAAAGTAAGAATCTGCTGGAGTTGACTGTCAAAGTAAGAATTTACTGGAGTTGACAGTCAAAGTAAGAATTTACTGGAGTTGACAGTCAAAGTAAGAATCTGCTGGCAGTTGACTGTCAATAAGAATTTACTGGAGTTGACAGTCAAAGTAAGAATTTACTGGAGTTGACTGTCAAAGTAAGAATCTGCTGGAGTTGACTGTCAAAGTAAGAATCTGCTGGAGTTGACTGTCAAAGTAAGAATTTACTGGAGTTGACAGTCAAAGTAAGAATTTACTGGAGTTGACAGTCAAAGTAAGAATCTGCTGAAGTTGACTGTCAAAGTAAGAATTTTACTGGAGTTGACAGTCAAGTAAGAATTTACTGGAGTTGACAGTCAAAGTAAGAATCTGCTGGAGTTGACTGTCAAAGTAAGAATTTACTGGAGTTGACAGTCAAAGTAAGAATTTACTGGAGTTGACAGTCAAAGTAAGAATCTGCTGGAGTTGACTGTCAAAGTAAGAATTTACTGGAGTTGACAGTCAAAGTAAGAATTTACTGGAGTTGACTGTCAAAGTAAGAATCTGCTGGAGTTGACTGTCAAAGTAAGAATCTGCTGGAGTTGACTGTCAAAGTAAGAATCTGCTGGAGTTGACTGTCAAAGTAAGAATCTGGCGTGAGATGGTTGAGGACATATGATAGTGAAGGACAGGGCAATTTGGCGTGAGATGGTTGAGGACATATGATACTGAAGGATAGGGCAATTTGGCGTGAGATGGTTGAGGATATATGATACTGAAGGATAGGGCAATTTGGCGTGAGTTGGTTGAGGACATATGATACTGAAGGATAGGGCAATTTGGCGTGAGATGGTTGAGGACATATGATACTGAAGGATAGGGCAATTTGGCGTGAGATGGTTGAGGACATATGATACTGAAGGATAGGGCAATTTGGCGTGAGATGGTTGAGGACATATGATAGTGAAGGATAGGGCAATTTGGCGTGAGATGGTTGAGGACATATGATAGGAAGGATAGGGCAATTTGGCGTGAGATGGTTGAGGACATATGACCTATGATAGGGCAATTTGGCGTGAATGCTAGAATGCTCCAGGAAGCTAGAAAGGCAGAAGAAAAAGACACATTCAAATCCCAATTGTGTATGTCCCAAACAATGTACTGTGTTGGTTTAGCTACTTTCTGTGTGTATCCACAAAATATCTAGTGTTATTATAAGTTTTACATTTGGCCTGAAGAAACTACAGAAATCTGGCTCACTATCTAATCTAACAACACAGTATATACTTCTTTAAATGTAATGCATTCATGCTTTTTTTTTTTTATATACAATTCACAGCGATCCAGGTAACCTCATAAAATTTTTTTTTTTTTTTTTCATATTTGTTTTATTTAATGTTTGAATACCCTATTGTAGTTATTTCCGAGTCAGTTTATTTTTGTGTTGTGGTTTGTTTCCTGTCGTCATTCTGCTGATGAAAGTTAATCACCACAATGTCATTTGTTTGTTTATTGTAACTGGTTCTGTAAAGCTTTCATATACCTTACACTACAAACATTACTAACTTTACTAATAAACTCCAAACATTCATTAACGGATGCCTGCACAGAACAGTCTGGGGAAAAAAACTAATTCCAGTAAAACAAGAGGTGAGTAAAGGATGCTGGCGTTGGATAGGACACACACTGAGAAAACTTAATAATAATATAATAACTTCTTTGCACTGGAACACACAGGGTCAACATAATAAAGACAGAGTTAAAAACCTGCAAAGAAGGGAACTACAGACAGCCAACAAGATGGGGAGGACACAGGATTAGCTGCATGCAGTAGGAAAAGATGGAATCAGTTGTGAAATGGTTGAAGTGTGATGCTCCAAGCAGGGCTGAGCAGAGGAGGACGAAGAAGAAGAAGAAGAAGAAGAAGAAGAAGAAGAAGAAGAAGAAGAAGAAGAAGAAGAAGAAGAAGAAGAAGAAGAAGAAGAAGAAGAAGTAGGATGAGGAGGAGAAGGAAAGAAAGAAAGAAAGAAAGAGAGAAAGAAAGAAAGAAAGAAAGAAAGAAAGAAAGAAAGAAAGAAAGAAAGAAAGAAAGAAAGAAAGAAAGAAAGAAAGAAAGAAAGAAAGAAAGAAAGAAAGAAAGAAAGAAAGAAAGAAAGAAAGAAAGAAAGAAAGAAAGAAAGAAAGAAAGAAAGAAAGAAAGAAAGAAAGAAAGAAAGAAAGAAAGAAAGAAAGAAGAAGGAATGGATGAAAGGATAGATGAATGGATGGATGAATGGATCTTAGAGGAAGAGAAGAAGAAGGAGGAGGAGGAGAACTCTTTTAGTCCCAAGGAAAGCATCATACGTTCACAGGTTCCTGCCTAGAAGGCCAATTAACACACAATACGCCGATTTTACATCCCTCTTTACTAACCCCCGATCCCCTGATGCTAAACCCTCTGGGACTGAAAGAGTTAACCCTGTCACCATGACTAAATCTAGTCACTTCTGGTTGTCACGCAGTCCCCTAAATGTCAATATATCGTTACTCTGCAGTGACCTGTTCTCGAAAAGCAAAGTTATATGCCATTGGTTCTATGTGAGCCTGCATTGTGTTTAACTGAGCAGGATGTGAATATGTTAACCAAATGTAGCAGTTAAAGGGTTTTCCCCTTTTTAACGCCTTCCTGACTTGAAAATTTCCTGTAATCCTCTATGATAGAGGTCACAAAGTTATGTTAGGAGTCACCTGATACATACTGATGTTTACTGTTTATTGCCCATTTAGAGGGGTTTCCCATTTGTAAAGCCTGGTTGATTTCAAAATGTCCTGCAAGCCTTAATGATAGAGGTCATAAGGTCATGTTAGGAGTCACCTGATACATATTTGTTTTAGGTCACAGTAAATGTTTATTGATTATTGCCTTTATATATCTCTATATCTCTCTCTCTTTCTCTCTCTCTCTATAAATAAACGGAGGGGGGAACCATTTGAGGCCGTTAAATATTATGAATTAATCAAGTAACAGAAAGTATTGTGAACGGCACTCATAGACAGAAGAAGAAAGATAGAAGAACACACTAGACAACATCATCAGGTGCCTTGCTGACTGGCTGGAGCAATCATGCCTCTCCACAATCTGCAATCTCCTGCAGCATGTATCAGTTCGTGTGCCGACACACCTCCATGCCAGGCAACAAGACTGTCAAGCATCTTCTCTCGTTGTCTTCCTCTATCCCTCCTTCCACAGATCTTACCAGTAGCCACAACATGTTCCATTTTCCCTCTTCTCATAACATGGCCGAAAAATGATAACTCTCCTTCTGATGTTTATGATAAGTTGTCTTCGGGCTCCCTCCTCTTTTAAAACCTCTTGGTTGCTCTTTTATTGATATATATATATATATATATATATATATATATATATATATATATATATATATATATTATATATATATATATATATATATATATATATATATTTATATATATATATATACACACACACACACACACACACACACACACACACACACACAATTCTTCGGACAGCCAAGAAGAGCAACTCAGACGTTTTGAAAAAAGGTTGGTGCTCAACAACAACTTCTCACAAACATCAGAAAGAGACAGTCATCGTTTTTTGGTCATGTATAAGAAGAGGGAAACTGGAATAAGTTGTGACCACTGGAAAGATCTGTGAAAGAGAGAGAGAGGATGACAGCGCTAGGATATTCTTGACCCCCTTTTGTTTGCCTTAGCATGGAAGGAGTCAGCCCATGAACTGATGCACGCAGTTGTGGATCCTGGATTATAGAGAGGCATGATTGCCCACACCAGTCGGCAGTGCCCTTGATGATAACAACATATGTTGAAATAAAAACTAAATTTTTTTTTTTACAGTTAATTAGTTACCTGTGCAAAATAGTTCTTCCTTTAAGGATTTTTTAACGGAAATTTCCCCAGTTTTATGACCCATTTCTTTTTAGTGTCGAGTGCGAAAGGGTTAATGTTAAGTTCATTTAGTGTGTTAAAAATGATTTCAAATGTTTAATTTTGTGTGCTCCAATAGTGAAAATGTCATTGAATTCTCAATCAAATTAGTTGAGGCAAACTGAAAAACACTTAGATTTCTTGCTCAAACATCCAAATTAGATTATACAAACAAATTTACACCTGCGAAGTTTTGAACAAAGAAAAAACCTAGTTCTTTGATACTTTTTTCTTCTTCTGCAAAAGAGAGGCTGCCATGGTGATTTGTGGTTTACAGGTAGGCTGTGATATTTAGTCACCTTAAACCACACGCCTGTTAGTGGAGGCAGTAGGTCTACTTTTGCCCCCCCCCCCCCCCCCCCCCTATAAATGAGGCCCCGGATTCTTGGAAAGATCTGTATACCCAAAATTCAGGCCTGCATACTGTTGAAAAATGAACTTTTTGCTAACATTGAACATTAAAAAAGAACCCCTGTGTGGGTTCGAACCCCATTGTGGATAAAACAAGAACAAATCCACCGCCTTTCCAACAAGCATGTTGTAGGGGTAGACTAACAGGGGTGCATTTTTCGAAGTAAGATTACATTTCACTGAGAGGCAAGGAACCAAGAGTCTGCATACAAATAGCCAGATCTGTAAAACAGCTGTGCTCACAACAAGACTAAAGTCTGGAGGTGGAGGAACACCCAGAACTTTCCGCTGGAGTTTACAGCCGGTGAATGCAAAGAAGAAGAAGAAAACTGTCTTTAAATATTTAAAAAAATGAAATCACTAGTGTTGTTTGATTGTTTGCATTCACCGGTTGTAAACCTCGGCGGAAAAACCTGGTTGTTCATTCATTTCTGGACTCTGGCTTTGTTCCAGGACCTGAGTTTTGCGTGTGCATCTGTTTTACAGATCTTGCTTATTTGTATGCAGACTGCTGGTTCATTGTCTCTCAGGCAGATGCACTCCCACTTTGAAGGAAGCCCCCAATTAGTCGACTCTTAAGACATGCTTGTTAAGAAGGCAGCGGGTCTTTTCTTGTTTTCCCCACAAAGAGACCCAAGAACCCACATTAAGATAGTAGTTAAATCACTAGTAATACCATAGGTTTTCTGTCCCTGTATAATCTCCCCCCTATCAGAACACAGCCTAACTGGCAAGGCAAAAGTTACCTGTGTGGATTCTAAGGTGCTGCTGAAGATGGGTCATTTGTTTAAACGCTCGACTGCATACCTGGCACACGTACTTCCGTTCTCCTACAAGGGAAAGATAATAACTGATATTATTTCTACTCTGCCTTAGTGAGGAAGGAAGGGTTGAGGAAGGAGTGACAACTGTGTGAGGGAGGCTGATCACGTATCTTGATGGTAACATATTATTTCTACTCTACTTTAGTGAGGAGGGAAGGGCTGAGAAAGGAGGGATATCTTTGTGAGGGAGGTTGATCACGTATCTTGATGGTAACTGATATTATTTCTTCTCTACCTTAGTGAGGAGGGAAGGGTTGATCACGTATCTTGATGGTAAGTAAAGTAAAGTAAAGGACCCTGTGGTCAGAATCACGCCGGCTGCCTTTACTTCCCAGGACTGCACCGGGTACCCACTCAAAGCTGGGTCGACCTGACAGCCAAGATCATTTTTTTTTTTAAAGTCTGGCTCCGCCAGGGAGCGAACCCACAACCTTGGGAATGATATTGATCTGTATCTTGATGGTAACTGATATTATTTCTACTCTGCCTTAGTCAGGAAGGGAGGGTTGAGAAAGGAGGTATATCTCTGTGAGAAAGGTTCTTCAAGTATCTCTATGGGTAAGGGCAGGGTTTTGTCTAGAAATAAAAATACGGTGGCACTCACCACAGAGTTTCTAATAAAAGCTGGTGCACACACGCACGCACCACAAAGTACTGCATTTGTCAGGATATAAGACAATAGGTTCCCAAAATTTTCTAGGCTTAAAATTGGGCGTCATTTTATAAGTAGAATGTGTTTAAAATATTTATTTCCTAATTATGCCACGCAGTTAACTTTTGACTCCATGACCTGAATCATTGAGGCTATGGGAAAATTTGACTCCATGACCTGAATCATTGAGGCTATGGGAAAATTTGACTCCATGACCTGAATCATTGAGGCTATGAAAAAATTTGACTCCATGACCTGAATCATTGAGGCTATGGAAAAATTTGACTCCATGACCTGAATCATTGAGGCTATGGGAAAATTTGACTCCATGACCTGAATCATTGAGGCTATGGGAAAATTTGACTCCATGACCTGAATCATTGAGGCTATGGAAAAATTTGACATCAGCTTTGTTTTTAGAAAAGCTGTTCAGTTTGAAGGAAAGCTCCCATAAATGCTATTTTTTAGTAAATGCTGTCATATGCCCTCCTAAACCAGGGGTATTTAACTGCGCCTCTGGGACAAAATCTGGCCTGCAAGTGGCCCGTAGATCATTGGCACTTGTATTGTATTCATCATCATCATCAAGACAGCAAGACCTTCTAGGCAGGGTTTCTTCTACCCCCCCCCCCCCCCTCCCCACTTTTCCAAATGAGACCATAGGACCTAAACAGAGAAGACAGTAATTGTTAAAACACTCAGTATTTAGCAAGATCACAAATCAAGGAATTCTTCTTCTTATTCCGCCTTTTAGCCCCAGTGGAGCATAAGCCCTCAACCAACTCACACCCAGTGGTTCTATCGCAGGCAGCTCACCCCATGTCCTCCCTGTCCTTTTGACTTCACTCTCTAGCTCACATCTCCCTGTGTTTTTTGGTTTTCCTTTATTTCTCTGCCCATGTGGGTTCCAGAACAAAGACATTCTAGTTAAATTGTTCTCAGGGTTTCTCAACATGTGTCCTATTCTTCATTTCTTTATCCACTGGAACTTGTTTGGATCCCTCCCAAATCTCTACATTAGTGATTCTATCATACCATTTAATTCCCTATATGAAATAAAAGGATAATGTGGTACAGACAAAATACGTATTTCAGCGTAAAGAAATAGTATCAGTCTTATTCTGTTTTATGTCAAGTTACTACAACAACAAAAACAGCAGCAGCACCAACAATATCAGCAGCAACAACAACAACAGTGTAAACCAGGTGATATTCACAACTCAGCTGTTAGACCTTCTAAAGTTAGGGAGCGTTTTTTCTCGGAAAAAGACCACATTTTTCTGTGTATAAGACACCCCAATATCTAAAACAACACCTAATTTCTTAGCCAACAATTAAAAAATACATATTTTATCACAAATGTGTGTATAAGACGATTCACATTTGTTAAACGTAAACAAATTCAGGAAATTCAGGAAAACGTATCATCTAATACACAGAAAGTAAGGTAATCTACTGGCATTCTTTGACACCATTCATAACACAGGAAAACATACGGGCATTGTTTGATATTGTTCATAATCTATGGCAATCAACAAGCATTACTTAATATCAATGGTATTCAATGTTGAATGCTCAATTAAGAATCAACATCACTGCACTATGGGCATTACCATAAGTGCTCAATCCCTATCTTCAGCAGCAAGCGAAGAGTTCCATCTTATACACAGAAAATAAGGTAACCATCTACTAACAGTGTTTGACACCATTCATAACACAGGACAATCTACCGGCATTGTTTGATATTGTTCATAATCTATGGCAATCAACAGGCTTTACTTAATATCAATGGTATTCAATGTTGGCCTAATGATGACCACATTACCCACCGAGTGCTGATGGTCTGTACAAATATGGGCGCTCTTCCCATATGCCCGATATGCCTAAAGGCGTGGAAAGGGAACTTTCCTTTTTTTTTTTTTTCACTTTATTTAATGTTGAATTAAGAATTGACATCACAGCACTATGGACACTTCCATAAGTGCTCAGTCCCTATCTTCAGCAGCAAAGCAAAGAATTCCATCTTATACACAGAAAATAAAGTAATCTACTAATAGTGTTTGACACCATTCATGACCCAGGACAACCTACGGCATTTTTTGATATTGTTCACAATTTATGGCAATCAACAGGCATTACTTTGTATCATTGGTATTGAATGTTAAATGTTGAATTAAGAATCAACATCAAAACACTGGGGACACCCCCACAAGTGCTCAGTCTCCATCTTCAGCAGCATGCAAGAGTTCTAATTCCGATGGTACCAGTAACCAACTGACTGACTGTATATCCATGGCATCCTTCCCCCGAGTGTCGGCCAGATGATATCAATGGTAAACCATGACAACTTACAGGAGTTACTTAACTCTTGAGTCCCAAGGAACGCGCTATACGTTCATTTTTTTTTTTTATTTCCAGAAACAATGAGTTGTTAACCCTTTGGCTCGGTACTATGGATATCGCAACCCTTCGGCCTTGATTCCATGATAGGTACCGTAAATCTGGGAGAAAATTTCGCTTTTCTGCCTACCCCCGGGAGTGAACCCGGACCACAAGGAGTTCGTCACCCGGTCACGGCGCAGTCTGGTTTAGCCAACTACGCTAGAGAGCTGGGCAATCATACGTTCATAGATTCCTACCTAGAAGCCCAATGAACGCAAGATGGGCAGATTTTACGTCTTTCTTGACTACCCATTAGGCCTGTGATGCTAAACCCCCTGAGGCTCAAAGAGTTAATATTATTGACAACCCATCCCAACATGTCATATCATATGGAACTTTCTAATGATTCAAAGATGCCTGTGCTGGTTGGGACATGTCTCTCTCATGGAGAACGGTCACATCCCAAAGGGTCTCCTGTTTGGTGAACTGGTAACAAGGAAAAGATCTGCAGCAAGACCAATGCTATGCTATAAAGCAGTGATTCCCAAACTGTGCACTCTGGGGAGCCGCGACCTCTTCACAGGGGCGACGCAACCTCTTCACAGGGGCGCCGCAAAATATTTGAAGATACACGAGTTTTATTTATTTCATTTCTTACATACTTTTACTCAGGTTAGGCGCTGTGGAAAAATTTTAATTGAAAAAAGGCGCAGCGACGAAGAAAAGTTTTGGAAACACTGCCATAAAGACATATGCAAACGTGACCTGAAAGGAAAACTGGCTTATTAACAGCATCCTGTCTCGAAACTTAGGAGTATTTTGGCCACATCAAACATCATGGTGGCTTGGAAAAGAGGGTGATGGAGGGTGCAATTTGTGAAAGTGCGAGGCAGGGGTCGACCTCAGCAAAGATGGTTAAAGGACATTGAAAATGCATTGGCACTGAAAGCACATGGGGCTGGAGAGCTGGTTAGGGAAAGGGATACTTTCATGCGTGCCGTGAGGAAAGCGATGTTCTGTAAAGGTCTTGCTGATTGATGGTGAATACAATACAAGTGCCAATGATCTATGGGCCACTTGCAGGCCAGATTTGGCCCCTGAGGCGCAGTTAAATAATACCCCTGGTTTAGGAGGGCATATGACAGCATTCACTAAAAAAATAGCATTTATGGGAGCTTTCCTTCAAACTGAACAGCTTTTCTAAAAACAAAGCTGATGTCAGATTTTTCCATAGCCTCAATGATTCAGGTCATGGAGTCAAATTTTCCCACAGCCTCAATGATAGAGGTCATGGGGTCATGACATGAGTAACCTGATACATTGTTTTCTCAGATCCCGGGCAGTGTACTCCATTCACCATGTTCATGTTTACTGACAACTACCTTTGTGTGTTATTATATTTATTTCGCGAAAAAAAAAATTATGTAAATAAATTTAAAACGAATTTATTAGTGACCTGCGAACATTTTTTTTTTTCAAGGAATTTTAAATAGAATTCCAACAGGGTCATGCCCCCTCCCCCCCTCCTTTTTTTTCCTTTTTCCTTTTTTTTTTTTTAACGTTACCGGGGAGAAAGGGTTTACAATATGTATTAACAGCCTAGGTCAGCAGCAGTAGAAAAGAAGAGGTTAGCACTGCTGCTGCTGATGATGATGCTGATGATGATGATGATTTACCCGTGTGGATGATATGATGTTGCTGCAGGTGGGTCATTTGCTTAAAAGCTCGATTGCATATCTGGCAAACGTACTTGCGTTCCCCTATGGATGAAAGACAAAAATCGAGAATACAGTTTTTTTTCCCGTATAAATTTTTTTTTTTTTAAGGTTGGGGGAAAACGGTTATTTAGAAAATAGGAAACCACCAAACCCACATTTACAAAAATTTAAAAAAAGAAAGAAAGAAAAGCTACAAATCATTGAAACTATAATTGTGAGGCAGAAAGGGTTTTCTAACAACACAAATACAACAACACTAGTGGGAATAAAAGAACTGGAGCATAATTGTGTAAAATTAAAAACACCATCATCATCATCATCAATTCTCGTTTTACCTAGTGGCACATGAGGCTTCAGAGAGGACTTTCCATGCTTTTCTGTCCTGTGTAATCTTCATTGCAGTTTTCATGTCAGAGATGCCGCCATGCTGACAGAGGGACTCTGTTCTTAGACCACCAGACATTTAGAGCACTTATATCCTCTTGAACTTTCAGTAACGTTGTAGTTTTTCTCCTCGACTGCTGCTGTCTGCAAGTTTAAAATCACAGAGACCCAATTCTGTAAAAACAGAAAGCTAGCAAGATGTATCATCCTCTTTTTCTTCTTCCTCCTCCTCCTTCTCGAGCTGTACTGAGTTGAGTTGAGCCAAGAATTGACATCACAGCACTCGGTGCCTTCCCACGTGCGCTCCCTTCCCCATCCTCAGCAGCCACTGCCGAGTTCCAATACTAATGGTGCTGGTCATCTACCTAAAGGTTTAACACAACCTGGACTCAAGAGCCACACTTCAGAAGTCAACCAACAGGACCAGGTCCAGACAACCAGTTCAACCCTATAAGTTGATTATAATCAGCAATTTTTTTCAGTTAGGGCCCACGATAAAATCCTAACACATTATGCGGGGACTAAGCTTGAGCCATAGAGGCTTAAGACTCCCCCCCCCCCCCCCCCCCCCCCCCCCCAAGGCAAAATCGTATTCCTCTTCCCCCAGGTTGTGGTTGTTGTTATAGATCCAGCGGCGCATGAGCTTTCGCCCTTTGTCCCAATGCCATGTAGTGGAATTTGCATGTTTTCACAAGCTGTTTTTTTCCTCCGTACAAGGTGTTCCACTTGTCTGGTCTCGGAGGGAGTAGCTTTCTTCTTGTCTCGCTGAGTTTTGGGCACTCAAAGAGATGGTGTTCAACAGTTTCATAGGGGTAGTCACATAGCTGGCACTCTGGGGAGTGTTGTTGTTGTATTCTGTTTAGGTGTCCATTGAGTGGAGTATGTTGTGTTCTGAGTCTGAAGATGGTGGCTTGGTCCCTTCTTGTCAGATGGTTAATGCTGTCATTAGGATCAGGACCAGCCATATGTCTATAAACACTCTTCCAGTGTCTCCCATGGCCCATCTGTTCAACCCCAAGAAATGGTAAAACTAGAAGTTGACAGTGACATATTCAGTGAGCCTGCTTAGGAAGATCCAAACTGGCAAACAATGAGTAGAACGAGTTGAAAGCATTTAAAAGTCCCGCCCGAAAAAACTATCTTGGCTGTACACACGGGAACATGCTGGTGTGGAACGGAAATGATTAAAAGGTTAAAGGTTAAAGTCGAGAGGATCCACTTCATTGCGTCGGGTTTTATCCCATGTGTCTCAGTCTCTCTTGACAGAACAGCTGGCTGCCTGCCGAGTGTCGCACAGAGCAAACCTCTGTAGCTCCGACAACGACCTCCAGGGATCTTTGTAAAAACTGCACTAGTGGACAAACGGCGCCGCCGTGAAATTAACCCACGACTTTCAGAACACGACGCAAACTTTTTGACCACTTCGCCACAGAAACTCCCTGAAAGAATATGAAAGAGCCGACAGACTGGTCGTATCTGCAGTTGTTAGTTGGGGAAAGAAGTATGGGCATGGCAGACTTAACTGAACTCGTTGCATTCCAGAGACATTGAAACAACTGATTCAGAGACAACAAATCGCCTGTTGGAAATTGGTATTACACGATGACAGGCATGCAGAAACCGGGTGCAGTATAAAGACAGAAGATCACCAACAAAGGGTGCTGTATTAATATCCTACCTCAGATGACGTCACAGAACAGTCCAACATTATAGAGGGTGGTAAGACTGGGTTTCCCGGCTTTCTGATGCTTTTAACGATCCCCAAAACATCTAGAACTGGCCCTAACCCCAACCCACCTACGTCCCGCGAGAAAGTGCAGCCTAGGTCCCACGACTGAAAGCAGTCTGGGTCCCACGACTGCATGCAGCCTACCACCACTACCTAAAATTTTAGACTGTCCCGTGACCTGTGGATTTCCCCTGTTTGGGGTAGGATATTAATTTTTAAAAAACCTGATCAACTCCTACCAGGTATGGTGTGTATTGAGACAATGAAAAGGCTGCTTCATTGGAAGACGGAGCACGAATGGACTGGATCGATGTGCTAGCATATTGTTACGGATAACAAGTAACACGTAAATACACAAGGTATGCCTACAGGCATATTAGGCACATAGGGCTAGACCTATATTTTAATTGGTATCACGCTGGTCGTCTTTTCTTCCCATGACTTTTACCTGGTACCCATTTAATGGCTGTGTCGACTTGGGTGGCTGGGTCGACTTGGGTGGCTGGGTCGGCTTGGGTGGCTGGGTCGGCTTGGGTGGTTGGGTCAGCTTGAGTGGCTGAGTCGACTTGGGTGGTTGGGTCGGCTTGGGTGGCTGAGTCGGCTTGGGTGGTTGGGTCAGCTTGGGTGGCTGGGTCGGCTTGGGTGGCTGGGTCGACTGGGGTGGCTGGGGTGGCTGAGTCGGCTTGGGTGGTTGGGTCAGCTTTGGTGGCTGGGTCGGCTTGGGTGGCTGGGTCGACTTGGGTGGCTGGGTCGGCTTGGGAGCCAAGGTCATTTGTGGAAAACAATATCCCCGTGTAGGTTCCAGGGTTCCGATTGTGTGGAAATCAAGAATAGAACTACTGCCACTCCAAAAAAAAAGCATATCGTAAAAGGTCAACTAATTGGGAGCTTCCTTTGAAGTCGAAGTGCATCTGCCTGAGGGGCACACAGATAAGCCGGTAAAACAGATGCACACGCAAAGCTCGGACCTTGACACAAAGGCAAAATCCAAATCTCCAAAAATAAGGACTTTCTGCCTCGGCTTAAGCCGGTGTGAACCAAGAAGAAGAAGAAGAAGAAGAAGAAGAAGAAGAAGAAGGAGGAAGAAGAAGAAGAAAATGAAGAAGAAGGAGAAGGAGAAGAAGAAGAAGAAGAAGAAGAAGAAGAAGAAGAAGAAGAAGAAGAAGAAGAAGAAGAAGAAGAAGAACAAAAAGAACAAGAAGAACAAGAAGAACAAGAAGAAGAACAAGAACAAGAAGAACAAGAAGAACAAGAAGAAGAAGAGGAGGAGGAGGAAGAAGAAGAAGAAGAACAATGCCTTGAGCGGAATCCACGACTTTCAGTTGCGCAGGCGAGCATCTAGCTGTTAAAGATGAAGAAGAAAATGAAGAAGAAGAAGAAGAAGAAGAAGAAGAAAAGAAGAAACGACTACACCTTGTACTACCTTGATATGCCTATCAGCATGTTGAAGCCATTGTGGGGTGACGGTTGTGAAGAACCGCCAAACAAGAAAAAGAACTAAGAAGAACAAGAATGAACAAGGGTGAAACAAGAATGATTAATTGCGTGAACAACTAAGATCTGTTGTAAACTGAGCTTCCATTGAGAAGGAAGAAGCATTTCTAGTGAAGAACAAGCACCTCCAGCAATGCCTTTGCAGCGGAATCCAATATGCTAGTCAGTATGCGCAGGCGAGCATCTAGCTGTTACACCATGCAAGCAAATACAGCCTTCATAATCAAGAAACCAAACGACTACACCTTGTACTACCTTGATATGCCTATCTGTTCATTGTGGGGTGAGGGTTGTGATATTTCCGCCAAACAAACAAAACTGTCTAAACTATTTGCTATGAAAGTGATAGTGATAAACTTCTCATGATTAAACAACCAGGTGTGCATGCAGTTTCTACACACACAGTTTAAATACTGCTGCTGACCATTGAAAATGAACTGGTATTTATAGTGACACAGGTACAATTGGTGTTGAGACACTTGTTTTGACAGCTAGCCTTTTTATGCATTTAATGTGTGAATATGCTAGTTAAATATGTGTGAGACTGCAGTCTGTGTAAAACTGTTCCACAAGGGAGAGAGAGAGAATGAGAGAGAAAGAGTGAGAGAGATTGGCACAGGAATGGAGCAAGTATGGAGTGAACAGTTTGCTATGAAGTTGAAATCACCTAATTACAAATTTAGTGGCAAAATTTGGGGAAAACACAAAAAAGACACAAAACGGCATATGCGGTTTCTGTCATGCATCTAAGTGATAGTGATAAACTGAAATCAAACAGAAAACACCAGGTGGCATGCAGTTTCTACACACAGATTAAATATATGATAACAGTGCCGACTTCTGAACTGGAAATGGTATGTAAATCAACACAGGTACGATTCAGTTGAGACACTTGTTTTGTCTTCTAGCTGTATTTATGAAGAATTAATTGTTCCCACTGCACTTAAATATGTGTGTGTGAGTGTGTGTGTGGGTAGATAAACGAGAGAGAGAGAGAGAGAGAGAGAGAGAGAGAGAGAGAGAGAGAGAGAGAGAGAGAGAAGTGGGCATGGAGACAGAGAAACATACAAACACAGAGTGCGAGAGAGAGAGAGAAAGAATTAGAAATGGTAAGAGAGTGAGATATACATATCTTCTTCTCTTCTGTTCTCTAGTCCTTGAAAGCCCCGTGACGTCACGACAGGAAGATATGTCTGGAACGGGTCCTTCTCTTTGCTTCGTATAAAATATTTGTCAGTATCTCTGATATTTCTGCGGTCCATCTTCTGCGTGGTCGACCTCTGGGTCTGTTATTGTTGCATCAGTATAACATTGTTCTCTGGGTTGCCAGGTATGCTGCCAATCTTGTTACATGGCCAAACCATTTGATTTGTTGTCAACCTTAAAATTTCAGTATTGGTTCTGTACCGACTCCCATCCTGATATCATCGTCCTA